AGTAGATTGACTTGCAGTCAGATAGCACCCGGCAGTTAGATGCGATATGATATGACTACTAGGCACTTAGGATATGACTACTAGGCACTTAAAAAAAAAAAACCCTAACCCTAACCCTAACCCTAACCTAACCTAAACCCTAAACCTAACCTAAACCCTAACCCTAACCCTAAAAAAAAAAAAAATTAAATTAAATTAAAGTGCCTAGTAGTCATATCATATCGCATCTTTCTGTCCTTTGCTATATCAGCAAATTTTGCACAGGGGAGAGATAGTGATCCGCTAGGGGACGGCTCTGATTAGCTAATTTTGTCTCTTATTTATTTTATTTTTTATTATTTTTTGCAAATTTTGTTTTATTTTTGAATTAGGAATAGGGTTAGGGTTAGGGTTAGGATTAGGGTTAGGGTTAGGGTTAACTGATTTCTATATCCACAACTTATTTCTATATTCACTATCTCTCCCCTGAGACCTACTATATATCAGCACCGGTCGCATATCATCGTCGGCGGCGGCAACATGAAACGCCACGAAGGCCGAGCGGACGTATCCGCTGCAGTTCTCAGAAGCTGGGTGTGCGTACGTCCGTCCGTTCTCGTTATCGTCACGTATACGAAACTACGATAACATCCGGCAGTGCGCCTTGCAGCGAGCTTTCACGAGCCATATACACAATGGCTCTCGCTCGCGCGCGGTTATGTGCCAGACCATGGCTATAGGCCAGGCATGGTCCGAGGGACGGCCCCCCACGGTTACAATGCTAAATCTAGATTATAGCATATCTAGACTATCATGTTGTATTACGCCCATGGTCACAGCAGTACGACGAAGGTCGTGTCTTTCTAGGCGGTCCCGCTCTCACACGCCACACGCCACACACCACACGCCACACGTAAACCCCATTATCATCTGCTGCTCCGCATTGACCTTGAACCTCGAACTACGTTCATTCGTCTTGGCGTTCGCCTTATATTCCCATATATATATATATATATATATATATATATATATATATATATATATATACTTGCCAAAGGGGATGAGGATACCGAGCGCATTCAATGGATAAGTTAAACTCGTTAACACTAACAGAATGTCCGTTGCCAGACACGGCAGTATAGCCCCCCAGGGAGTAAATGCATGCTTGCTTGCTACGCATGCTGCCTGCGTGCCAACTCCGCTCACGCAAGCACGCTGATACAGCACACCACGAGGCCTACTAATTCTAAGTACTGCGACGCTGCGACCACCAAAGATTCAAGATATAGAAAGCGTCAATCATAGATGTCACCAAGAAAAAAAGCAACGCGCAACTTGTGCGCACCTATATACTATCACGAGCCGATAATAAGTGTGAGCTATAGCGCCAGAGTAATAGCGAGCAGATAGCAGATATAGAGTACAAATTGTGATACAAGAGTTAGATGCTATCAGGAGTGAATAATAATAGAAATTGAGTCTATTATTAATGAATAATAATATAAATTAAATATATTATTAGTGATTATTAGAAATTAAATCTATTATTAGTGAATAATAATATAAATTAAATCTATTATTAGTGAATAATAATAGAAATTAAATCTATTATTCACTCCTGATGCGATCTATGTACGCCCCTAAAGGTTTGAGCTCGCTCTAGCTGCTAGTCTAGTTGTCTTGTGCTTGTGCTATAAAGCGAAATTGCGATGCAGTGGATGACCACGCGCGCACCGCTATAAACTTTATGTTTATATTCGAGGCGTCATATATACGCGCCTGCCTGTTTCCTTCCATGTCTGACGCCATAGGAGGTACGGAGGAGACGAACTAAAACACGACATCGTATTCGAATTGGACGAATCGCAAACGTTCGGTTAATTAATGGTGTCTCGAAAGATATGAACAACTTGTATCTATTTATTTATAAAATTTCTATGGCAGTAATTATTACGCCCACGCGTCACGGCTCCATGTACGCGTGTCCGCTCTCTCTGAGCAGTGCGCGCTCTCTTTTTCTTTCTCTCTCTCTCTCTCTGTTTCTCTCTCTCTCTCTCTCTCTCTCTCTCTCTCTCTCTCTCTCTCTCTCTCTCTCTCTCTCTCTCTCTCTCTCTCTCTCTCTCTCTCTCTCTCTCTCTCTCTCTCTCTCTCTCTCTCTCTCTCTCTCTATATATATATATATATCTATATCTATATATCTATATATATATATAATATGTGTGCATACGTGAGTGTGCGTGCATGCGTACGTGCGTGCGTGCGTGCGTATGAGTGTACTTTGCACCACCTACCGAATGAGGTACTGACGAGAATGAGGCAAGCCAGCAGTCGGTATCCGTGTATCGCCAGATGAAGGCCTCGTGTAGCATACATGATGGTTTCCGTGTAGCTATAATCCCTCTTCGATGTAGAGCTATATGCGACAGCAACCGCACACACGTTCACTCTTGTTACTTATCTTTACTTGAAATCCGCTTCCGATTATATATCTCCGTAGGTCGCTCTTTTATTTGGTACACGCTTGTTCTATGTGTTTAGCACTGTTTCTACGGATTAGTTGCGCTCAGTAGTTATACTGTGTAGGTACACAAACTCTCACTTTCTGTCCTTTCGCTCGCGCTCGCGCCTTGTGGTGCTTAGCGCGTGTTGTGACCCAGTAGCCCGTTTCGTCAGTCTAGCAATTTGGCGCGTTCAAGGGGCATTCGCTGCGTCGTCACTTCTCTCGTTGCTTTACTTCTCACTTCGGACGAGGCACGTGGCGAAATAAAACACGTTAGGTTAGCCAAAAGCTGCGGCACAACAATTCTCGATGAAATTCACAATTCGACAGTTTTCCCCGACGCCGTGGTTCGTATATATAAGCACCAGTAGCAGCAGCAGCAACACAAAGAGGAGGGGGAGGAGGATGAGAGGGAGGAGCGCACACCGGACAGCGCTCAGACGCGGGCAGCTATTCGCTACTTCACTCCCGGACACGCATCTCCGCATGAGACGTGGCGGCTCGGGCGTGACGCCACCAGCCGCTCCCGGACGTTCGCGTCATGGTCGGCGCTAGGCACGGATTTGTCGGTGCGTCGGAGCGAAAACGAATGCTCTGTTGTATGCTGCGATAGAAGGTCGTGCCGCCTCGTCCCGACAGTGCGCGGCAAATACCTGTTCACGGTTAGTTAGTTTCCGATGCTGACATGCGGGCTCCTCGCATAATAGCACGTACATGGCTAGCACGTATCTCTGGCTCGCGACACCTCGGGCGATCTGCTAGGAGGTGACGGGCTGTTGACGTCATCGTTGACGACAACACGAATGTTTGCGAACGTCACTATGAGCACTCAAAGCAAAACAATGGCCGCAATATTGCGGCGATTTGGTTGGCGCGTAGTAAAATGTTTACCGTCTGCGTTTAAGCTCTAAAAGTGTATACTTCATATATAAAACGTAAATAAATGTCAAAAGTTGTGTACGAGTTCTTGAAATAATATCGTTTTTACAGCATCTATACAGCTATAGATAAAATACCAATGTGCCGTTTTCAAATTAACGTCGTCACATTATATTAATTAATAGTACAATTAATCAATCTATCCGTGAACAGTTTCACAGAATTACTGTTTTTCAAAATCTCCGATAATTCCAACGATTATTTCATGTAATATTTTAATGCAAACAAGAGCAAGCACCCAACATTGGCACGAAAACAACAATAACATATCACTATTATTATTGTTATTATAATTTTTTATAATAATTTATTACCTCCGCGTTGCAAACGGAGGTCATGCAATCGCTCGCGTGTGTGTGTTCGTGTGTGTGTGTGTAGCCAGCAGCGAACCAGCTGTTATACACACGCTCAACCGATCGATCGATTCCGCACCAGTTCGCCTTAGGCCGTCCAGTCAGCAGCAGCTCGCCTTAAGGCGTCCAGCCAGCAGCAGCCAGCAGCGAGCCAGCTGTTATACACATGTATACATGTTACACGCTCGCGGAGGTATGCACTCTTTTTGAATGCCCTCTGTCTAGTTGTGTGTGTGTGTGTGTGTGTGTGTGTGTGTGTGTGTGTGTGTGTGTGTGTGTGTGTGTGTGTGTGTGGTGTGTGTGTGTGTGTGTGTGTGTTGTGTGTGTGTGTGTGGTGTGTGTGTGTGTGTGTGTGTGTGTGTGTGTGTGTGTGTGTGTGTGTGTGTGTGTGTGTGTGTGTGTGTGTGTGTGTGTGTGTGTGTGTGTGTGTACGTATGAGACAACTTTACATAATTAGACAAATGAACGGGGAGTTATAATGAGATCAATACGTGAGCAAGATACTTACATGAAGTGGATTAAGAAGAACGTAAGGACACACGACATCTCCGCAGTGTATTCTAACAAAGCTGAGACCGTAAAGGTGCCATCTCCGCTTCCACTGCCGTCATCATAGAGTAACGTTAACGTCTGCGTGTCGTAGTCCCTGCACATCCTGACGCGCAGGATCTGCATACGTCATGTACACGTCTTCGATGACGTCAGCGCGCGACACGTGACCGTCTGTCACCGACTGCTGTAGGATCTCGTGACGTCCAAAAGACGTCGTCGTAGCCGACCCTGTGTTCTACAGCCGAGTCTGTGCTTGCTGTGTTAGGCGAGTTGGTAGGGTTACTCGTAGGGGTAGGTGAGAGCTGCATATTCCGCCTCTGTCGTCTAGCATCAGATAGATAATATGAGAACGATTATTATTCGATAATACGAGAATATACTTCGATCTCAGTGAGTTTGTGTTTGTCGCGATCACTGTGCTGTATATGATAATATACGATACCGCGGTATGTAATAATACGTTTCTCAGTGAGTTGTGTTTGTCGCGATCACTGTGCTGTATTATGATAATATACGGTACCGCGGTATGTAATAATACGTTTCTCAGTGAGATGTGTTTGTCGGATCACTGTGCGCTGTATATGATAATATACGGTACCGCGCGGTATGTAATAATAGCGTTCTCAGTGAGTTGTGTTTGTCGCGATCACTGTGCTGTATCATGATAATTACGGTACCGCGGTATATGTAATAATACGTTTCTCAGTGAGATGTGTTTGTCGCGATCCACTGTGCTGTATATGATAATATACGGTACGGCGGCTATGTAATAATACGTTTCTCAGTGAGTTGTGTTTGTCGCGATCACTGTGCTGTATATGATAAATATACGGTACCGCGGTACGTAATAATACGATGTTATCATAAATACAGCTTAGTGGTCGCGATTGTAGTTTTTCAGCTGAGATTATATATAATATAATATAAATTAAATTATATATAATATAGATATATATAATATAAATATCGCGAGATCGCGCGTGTGATTCTATCATAAATATTTAGCATTCAGTCACGAGTCATCCGTATTGCAATAAGTATACTAGGTTAATATTATCGATAAATTTTCGATAAACTCGAATAATTATTGTAGTATTCCGAGTGATGCATCGGCAAAAGTATATCAAATTTTCCAGCAACCAGCATGTTCCAGGCGTTTCCGACCCAGTAGATCAAGCGCAGACTTTATATTTGCATAGGCAGCGGCATTGTGAATAACGAATACAAGGCTTTAATTTTGATGGATGGCATGGCCCCGCGTCGCTTATGTAGGACGCTGGGGTTTCGATCGAGTCATACTGAGCAATTAGGTTTGATCAAAAAATAATAGAACTACATCGACATAAATTATTGATGTGCATAAAATTAAAACAAGATTCACTAATGGTAAACCGTCAAAGGCGAAAGTAAGCATGAGTTTTTCCAGGCCAATTTAAATCACTTCATAAATAAAAATGTATACTGGAGTAATATTAAACTACGAAATCAGGAATGAATAAAAAACTAATTTGTATTTTTATTCACTCTAGATGAAATGGCATTAGAAGAAGAAAGAGTCATGATCGTCAACTACCACGATCCCTATGAACAATTCGAAGTGTATATATATATATATATATATATATATATATATATATATATATATATATATATTATTAATCATGTCAATGTGATAATAAATCGATCTCATCGAGGTGTACCCACCGTGCAGTGACGCATCGTGTGCACAGAGCATCGACAGCAGCTAATGCCTCTGAGCGCATTCGAGATGGCGTTTTGAAGGTCAACTGTAGACATCGCTGCCATACTCGGGTGAAAGCTAGAGAGTCGCTTCTGTCTATAAGCATGACATACAGCAGTGTTAATATCCCTGCAATTGTAGCGAGAGATAAGACTGCACTCATGTGTAGTACTGTCTCCTCTGTAGTATGGGAGGTTACTCGACAAGAAATTTTGCGAGCGTATCTTTCATTACAATTAATATTCGCATATGTATAATTCGTATATTTAGGCTTGCGGTAATTTACGAATGATTGATGCCTACCGATGTGGGTGGATGCGTTCGCGCATGCGTGCATGCATGCGTGCATGCATGCGTGCGTGTGTGCGTGTGTCTGTTGGTACCAATCAGTGACGGATCGACTAGCATGATTGATAAGACTTAGTATTATCGATCCTGGATAGTCTCTGAATATCGATGCGCAATTAGTTATTATTTCGATTAGTTGTTTCCGATTAAGTTACCTGTCATATACAAAGACGTTTCCGGCTGTTCCGTCCATGCGATGCCGCAGCTGTGGCGTAGTTTGTAAAACGTGGAGATTTTCTACGTGATCTAAGGCATCAAAGATGTTGCTATAGCCAGAAGTCAAGATGATTATCCCCACACTAGATAGTTGCTCATCCAATCCCTGTCGATGCATTTTGAGTCTGCAAGTTAATAGTAAATGCGCAAACGGCTTAGTAACTACGCTTTCATAGAAGGCGCACGCGCCCGCGCGTGTGTGCGTGGGATGTGTCGATGTGCTGGTGCGCACGCACGTTTCTGTACGTGCGTGCGTGCGTGCGTGCGTGCGTGCGCACGATCTCCCGTGCGTACGTTAATCAGGACATATCAGGAATCACGAACATAATATACGCATGCACGCAAACTTTCTAAAAACTGACGTACTTCTTCAATTGCTTCACGTCGTCCGCCTCGACACCAGTCAGCAGTACGACCACCACCACCTTCGTGCCTGTCGCTGGATCTCCCGTAAGCGATTCGAACAGTGATGGCAGAGCGCACAGCTGAAGTCCATTCAGCGGTCGCATTGTGACCGCGCCCACAGTGCAGCCCATCACGGCGGACAGAATGATGATACGTAACAGACTATCTCTCATCAGGTGTGTGAGGCGCGTTTCCATCGTATGCTCTGCCGGATGGATTCATGCACCTGCAATATTCGAGCGCACGTGCAAACGCGGGGGGACAATTAACAGCAAGCGCGGATTGTACGTTTGATGGATTCGTCATCTTTGTTTCTATATAGAGGTTAAGTCGTTTGTTGTTCGTCGAAATGTCCCGTTGCTTTTGTATGTCATAGTCGTTATTCGACGCAAAAGTAAAGGGAGCATGAAGAGGGAAACATCGCCATGTCAGAATAATCATTCATCACTAACTACTCATGGTCAAGTGGCGGTCAACTATTTTCGTCGAATCCCCGAGGAAAACATTACGTTACGTTAAGCGGCGTCCCACACCGACCCAAGTCTGCTTCCCAGATATAATATATTTATATCTATATATATATAATAACTATATATAATATATATATATAATAACTATATATAATATATATATATAATAACTATATATAATATATATATATATATATATAATATCCTCAATGCTAAGAAACACCCCTGTCACGATTCGGAAATCATACACACACCGCATCTATTTATATACACGCACGTATACGCACAGGTAGCGAGTAGGGCATTATACACTAAGACAATCGATCGTATATCTACTTTCACGCAGTTAATTTTCAGTTACTTTAAACGCACTCCTGGTATAATTCGCACGGAATTCTAATACGCGAGCGTGGCGGTTGCGCGCCTTTATTTTGTCGTCGTGACGCTATCCGTGGATGCAGCGCCTGCGGTTACACAGCGTCGCCGACACCCACGGGGCTGCTGGTGCATTGCACGGACGTACCCATCGTTGCGTATCTGACACGAGCCCAGCCGAACTTCCTGCACCCACGTTCGTCCTACGCCGACGAGAGAACCTGCTCTCGAAATTAAAAGCACGAATCGTCGAAATTCACTCCGGCAGACGGACGAGCGTTACCCGGATCGATGTAATCCGATTTCGCAAGGCTCCGATAATCCGGTCGTTATCCGATATTCTGGTGGGATGACGCGTTGCCGGGAGAGGACACGATGGAACGGAAACGGAAACGGAAACGTACGGCGCGGGCGACGCGCGTTGTGAAGTCGGCAGCCTTGGCGCACGTCGTCGACGTACGTGTGCGTGCGGTCGGCAAGTGCGACTCATCACTACGTCAACCGCGCCTTTGCCTCCTTTGCTGCACCTTTACGTTCTAATCGCGCGATGATTAATGACACTTTACGTCAATTCTGTAGACTCGAACGAAGACACTAGCCTGGTCCCTGTGCTGGGTGTCGAATCTTCCCTTATACCAGCCCACGGGTGAAGCAGCGAAATAATAAGAGAAGAAAAAATGCGAGAATTCGAGATATGCATAGGCTCGCGGTCCGGCAAACTACACCTACTACAATTCTCGCTGTATGGTCGTGATGGGTCAGACCGCTATCTTTTCAAACGTGCCTAATCTTCCAATTCCCATAATAAATTCAGTCGAGTATAATGCCCCGTCCTGCCACAAGTCGGCGCTGTTTGTGTTCGATGTTTGCCGACGGATAAATCGTCGATTTAATCTTAATCTATTTGGGTAATCAAACAACTATGGGCGGATTCAAAAGTCTGTTGTGATTAAGGAGTGTGTGACTTAAGAGAGTGCCGCTATAAGAGGCATGTTCACTTCGTGTGTGCATGCGACGAGTGAAGTCTTGTGCAAATATGATATATGCGCGGAGATGAATTCAGACTGTTAGTTTTAAACAGCCCTATAACCGTTAAAAACAGCTGTTATAGTTTCGCGTTAATTTCATAGTGGTTCTAATATGGAAAAGTAGGCCATAGTGACAGTTCGTTTAAAGATATAATTACAAACAACACAAATGTCTAAAAGACGATGTAGGCAGTAGGCATATTTATTTTCATCACGGATACATCAATGACATTTAAAAACAATTACGCAGTGGCGGTTAATTTATATGATATCTAACAGATTGTATTATTATTATTATTATTATTATTATTATTATTATTGTTATTATTGTTATTATAATCATTGTTATTACTATTTTGTAATGGCGTTACAAAATAATAAGTATAATTATTACAAAAATCCATCGTTTATTTCAGTTGCTTGGTCTCATCATTATGGCGTGTCCGGTATAGCGAGTTCTACGTCTGTCAGAGACAGCGGTGCAGCACGACATCCGGTTAGCAGCTAAAAAATATGTACGTTGTCTCGGCCTTCAAATCGCCTCCGGGTGAACAGAACCTTGTCCTGTTGCAAAAAAGCATGATCACATATTATGTGTATGAGCACGTTTGCCACAGATAATGATCGATGAGCTACGTATACATATATATATATATATTATCATATATATATATATATATATATATATATATATATATATATCTTAGGTAACACACGGAGGAAGAATAGGATGCACACGCTCGGCTCACAACAAACATATATGTTGCGGTTGCGTCAGAATACGACATGTACACGCACGTCATTTTATTACAGCTCTTATGAGAACGCATGCACTCAACTTGATTCTGTTTAGCTAGCTAGCTAGCTATGTGCTTCTATTAACCTAGAACCGGCGTACAAACACTCACCATATTTCGTTTCCAACGCTAGAACCGATACGTGTCAAGTTCAATCGTTGGATCTCCGAAGATAGGCCAATCCCACGGAAAGTACCTTGTAGAAAAAACGACAAAAATCGCAGTATATAAAATCATACAACACTTACTTTATTATTAATATATATATATATATATAAGTTTTATAATACCGGTTAGCATACGAACAATGTAACTTTAAATTAATTGATTTGGCTCACCAATCGTAGTCGTAGATCACTTGAATTCCACGCGCAAGATGTCACCCAGAGCATGCTCCGCTGCTGTCATGCGCTCGTAAGTTTCACCAGAGTTCAAATCCACACTAACGAAAACACACACGCGTGTTACAAAGCGAAACATTTCATTCTCACGCAATCGCTGAACAAATCGTCGAGAGTATACTCTGTTATTCCAGGTGGGGAGGTTTCGTATATTCGCATGTTAATACGGCTCAAATTTCGTATTCAACCTCGTTTTTTTATTGGGTGCAGGCTATATCCACACACACACGTATACACACACGCACGCGACGCACGCCACGCACACACACACACACACACACACACACACATATATATGTATATATATGCCAAACATTTTTGTATTCTACTTGTCTCTCACCTCGCCTGATGTGACTCGATAAAGTCGCTCTGACCCGTCATACCTATTATGTTTACGTATATGGGTCCCTTCTCGTCGGATACTTCTCTTGGTGCATTTACTATTTTCGAGTCGTTGATGATATTCTAAACATATTAAAAACACTTAACAAACCGCCATTTGCTTCGAATAGCGAAAACGTAAATCTGAAGGAATAACAGCCGCTTTTTTACTTGCATCGAAGCGTAAACGATGTCTGAAAATTAAAAATTGGAAAATTAAGTCAGCAGAAGATGGAACCTACTTCCGTACGGCGCATTTTCTTCGCGTGTACATCCAGAAACATTGGTCTGTTCAGGCGTGCGCGTGGAATCCAGCGCGTAGTCGCCTGCCTTGAATCCGTAGTTAAGCGCATCCACCTCCATCCGCGCCACAGCTCGTACATTTACCTGCGTCTGTATTTAAACAGCTCACATTCAACATCATGCCAAGTGAATCTGTCGTTGTCCGCTATTAGCTCATTGATAGACGCTCACCTCTCTGACATCCCGATCTAAAGAACGAGCGTACGT